CACAGCCTGCACTTTCCATATTGCACTGCCTGGAGCTGGGAGCATTTCTGGGAAATGCCTCTTTGTGGGACCTTTGGACCACGGCTCACAGTCTGTACTGGGATGGCACTGCAGTAGCAGCAGCACTGCCAAGGCACAGCCTGCCTAAGATGGGGACATGGAGCATCCCTCCATTCTTCCCGGGTGCCGCAAGAGTGGTGGGATCACAGAATGTCCTGAGTTGGAAGGCACTCCTGCTTCCACGTTAGACTAGCCTAACCCAAACCCTACGTCTGAGAACAGTGTCCCAGTGCTCCAGCAGCTCAGCCCATGCCACTGCCCAGGGGAGCTGCTTCATGCCCACCACCCTCTAGGGTACAGATTTTCCCTCAGAAGCACCCTACACTCTTCTAACAGCTCCATGCCATTACACTGTGGCCTGTCAGTGGTGGAGAGAGCTGAGCTCGGTGCTGCCCATCCGCAGCCTTTGAGGAGCTGTAGGTCCATGAGGAGCTGCAGCTGCAGTGAGCCCTCCCCTCAGCCTCCTCTGCTTTGGGCCCAATAAACACAGGGCGCTCAGCTCTCCTCACACCCCTTGCCCTGCAGACCCTTCCCCATCTCCACAGCCATCCTTTGGATGCTCTCTAACAGCTCTGTGTCCTTCTGACACAGCAGCACCCAACCTGCACCCTGTGCTCCAGGTCAGACCGCAGCACAGAGCAGACAGGACGGTCCCTGTCCTCACCAGCACTGCTGGGCATTCTCCTCCCCCAAAAGGGGAAGGGGCCCTTGTGGCTGCAGGACGCTGCAGGCTCATGTCCACTGGGCCGTCCCAGAGCCCCCAGAGCCCTTCTGTGGAGCTGTCAGCCACCCTCTGCTCCCCCAGTCCGTACTGAGAAGCCATATCCAGTCACTGAAGGGAACACTGAACAGAACCAGCCCTGAAATGGAGCCCTTCAGAACCCCCAGGGACTGCCAACAGTGCATGCCACCCATGTTCCAATGCATGGGCAAGAGGCATCAGCCCAGCTTTCACCAATCTCACGGTGTCTGTGCCTGTCTGTGTGCTGTGTGCTTTGTCTGCAATGTTCTGTGAGCAATGGTATGGAAGGAAATGGTATGGAACAGAAATACGAGCAAAAGGAGGGAGAGAGCACCTCAGCACTTGCATCATGGGCCGCTCCCCCTCCCCACCAAGGGCTTGCCTCATTCTTGCACTCAGGACCAGGGCGGATGGCCCCACAGGGACAGGGCTGCTCATTGGGCTGCCCACAGAGCTCTTCTGCTGGCTGCTCTCAACATGTGAGGCGCGAAGCCTCGCATCCACGCACTGCTCAGCACTGCATCCGTGTGCCCCAGCATGAGGCTGTCAGCACTGGGCCTGGTCCTGACCACATCAAATGCGTAACCACCCCCTCCCAGCACTGCCCAGCACAGCAGAACCCAGGGCATGCGCAGGTGCTCAACCAGACAGCGGGGCTCAAGCACTCCTTGAGAGCTCCTTCAGGCACCACACTCCGTGCCCCACATGTACCGCGAAGGCGGGGAACGGCACGGCTGAGGAGGCTGTTTCCTCTCTGACTGAGCCCTTGCTTCCTACACGATGGTACCCACCTTCTCCAGCATTTCTCGCGTGTAACACGGAGCATCACGATTCTGCTCTACCATGGCATCAATCATGCTGATGAGCTCTGCAACCTGCTGATCCCTCGCCTCCCCAGTGGCTCTGTTGCTGAAACCGAGGTACCGATTTCCACACTTGGCTGCCAGCTCCTTGAGGCATCCGCTCCTTTCTATGAAGCTCTTCAGATCTTCGGGATGCTTCAGCTCCTCTGCTCGGGTGAATAACAGGATTGTGTACTTGTGTGCTTCAGTATGGGACATCTTGGACAGCCACTCAGCCTCTTTCTGCTCGTCCAGTGCATTTGGGCCCAGCTGCATCACCAGGACGATGGCATGGACCCCTCCGGACAGGCACTGAAAGGCTTTCTTCTCAGCTGTTTTCAGGTTGTCTTCCACAGTGACATGAAAGCCAGGAGTGTCGACAACAACCAGTGACCATCCAGCAGAGCAGCCTTTGACTTCCTTGCACTCTTGGGTTACTGACTGTGGTGACAGATAAGATTCAAATTCCTCCTTCCCAAGGATGGTGTTCCCTGT